TTACATTTTCTTCACTTCTCTTTCGACATCTCAGCTCATTTACTGTAATTCCTCTAGTACTTTCATATCTGCCGTTTTCAGTAGCCTTTGCGTTGTAACTGTGTCGGGTCTTGTTTCTGAGGCACATATTATTATTGGTCTTACACTGGCTTTATAAATACTTGACTTCATCTCAGTGTTAATGTGTCTGTTTCGCCATATAATGTTATTAAGGCATCCTGCCAGTCTATTTGCTTTTTGTACTTGAAATATCACTTCTTTTTTCATGTCTCCATAACTGGACAGTATAATTCCAAGGTATTTTGTTTTCATTACTTGTTGAATATTGATACCATAAATTTCTAGTTTACATCTGGTTGGTTCTTTGCTCATTATTATTGTTTTAGTTTTTTGAGATGAGATTGTCATATTAAATTCTTTCGTTCTTATTTTAAATCTGTGGACCAGTTTTTACAGACTATTTTCATCTTGGGCTATGAATATTGCGTCATCTGCCGAACAGAGTATTTTTATTTCTTTATTTCCCATTCTCTATCCTCTTTCTTTTGATGATTTCATCCATGTATAAATCGAAGAGCATGAGGCTCAATAAATCCCTTTGTCTTATTTCGCTGCTTATTTTTGTAGGTTCTGTAAGTTGTCCATCTATTCTGACTTCCATTTCGTTGTTTTGGTAAATATTTTCGATAGTTTTTATAATATTTAATTAAACTACTCTAGTATACAGCGGATGGAACACATGTTTGAGTCTTACTCTGTCAAACACTTTCTTTAGGTCAATCAGACACAGAAGTGCTGGTCTAATTATACTCTAGTAATTTCTCAGTAATTTGCTTTATAATAAATATTGCGTCTGTGCACGATCTTCCACTACGAAAACCTTGTTGTTTATCTGCTAAACTTATGCTTGAATTTTGCACTCTTTATACCAGGTTAGCACAAGTTTGTACCTCTGTAATTTTCTGGCTGTTTTTATCTCCTTTGTTGAATGGTACAATTCGTAGAATTAGTAATTCGTTTGGTATCCCGTCTTTACCTGTTTCTTTTCTATTTCTCCATCTCTAAGTTCTAAGTTCTCCATTTAAGGTAATTTCAGGTGTTTCTGGTTTTAACGTCGTTTGTTCTTCCTGTACACAGAGCTTTTTTAGGTAGTCGATCCACGAATACTTTTCTATGCGTTTTAGTTCTATTAGTTTCTTTACCTCCTTTCTTTGACCTCTTATGAAGCGCCCTTTTGTAAAAAACTTCATACTTCAAAAGTTAAAATTAATTTAGTAGAAGTCTATACACCTACAGCTCAGAGCGAAAACAAGGATACAACTAGTTGTTATCAACAGGTCCTCGTAGACACTTCGTCTCAGGACCATTTTACTCATGTAGAGTCATACGCCGCCATATTACCTATCCAACGGTAACTTAAACATCACAAATTATAAATACTAATAATGTAAAACAACTACAAATTTAAAACATTTAAAGGGTTTTTACCCATATATTTTGGTGGCTACTAGCATGTACAACCGTTTGCACTGATGATGGATTGTTTAATCCGAAAACGTTTTGCAATGTGTTTGTGATAGCCCGTTTGGGGCATTTTTATATACCTGTTATAAAGGATTTTAAACAAAATTTTTTTGTGATGTATGGTATACAGCCAGCTACAGGAACTTAGTTTCCTCGTGGAATTTTAAACACTTTAAAATTTAAGAAATGGAGAAGCTACATTTTATATAGAAGTCGGAGACAGAATATCCGTACCATTCCGTGTACCATCAAAGTTCATTTATTCGAACATTCAACCTTATATTGATTATCAGTAATCTTTGTTCTTTCACGAATGTCGATATTTCAAATCCTGTCTTTCAAACTAATCCCTAGCATGGTCCTCTCCATCGCTCTTTATGTTGTACTGAGCTGCTCTAAGGTTTTCGTTGGAAAGACCGTGGTCTCCAGTCCATATAGTTACAGACAAGATATATTTGTCATAAACTCTACGTTTTAGACACATTGGTATATCTTTATTCTTCAAGTTAAAGCTTAACTTGCCGAAAGCTACCCAAGACAATTGTATGCGTTTTCTTTGCCGATTTTAATGGTATGTCAAAGATATATATTGTGGTCTACATTTTCAAGACTGACGTTGTCAATAATAATATTAGTTTGTAAATTACTCAGTATTTTTGTTTTCTGAAGGTTCATTTTATAACCTATTTTATTTGACTGTTGATTTAATTCCTTGAGCATTTGCTCCATTTCCTTGATATTTGTACTAAATAATATGCCGTCCGCAAAGCTCAAATAGCAGGTAGCAAAGACATCCATAGAGTCGACAGATTCACTTACCTCGGAACTACCCTCAACTCACAATGGGACTACGCTCAAGAGATTAGATCCAGAATTGAAATGGCACGGTCTATATTTATTAAGTTGAGATCCTTGCTGTGCTGAAGTGATCTCAGTTTGGGAACCAAGATGCGGATAGTGAGGTGCTACGTTCTTCCAGTGTTACTATATGGAGTTGAAGCCTGGACACTGAGGCAAGCCACTGAAAAACGAATCGAAGCCTTCGAGATGTGGATATACAGAAGGATACTAAAAATATCTTATGTGGACCATGTCACCAACGTTGAGGTCCTACAGCGCATGACAAAAGAAAAAGAAGTGCTAAATTTAATTAAACAACGTAAGCTTGAGTACCTCGGCCACGTGATACGGAACGAAGAAAAATATCGAATTTTTCAACTAGTTATGCAGGGTAAAGTATTTGGCAGAAGAGGACCGGGACGCCGTCGTATCTCGTGGTTGAAAAATCTCCGACAATGGTTTGGTATGACTTCAGCGGATCTGTTTCGCAGAGCAGTCAACAAAACCATGATAGCCTTGATGAACGCCAACATCCGGACCGGATAAGGCACTGAAGAAGAAGAAGAAACCTCAAATGACTCAAACCTACACCATCAATCTTTAGATTTTTTTGCTCCTAGTTGAGCTGTTTGAATATATTCTCCAATGCTGAGGTAAAAAAGCTTTGGTGAAATAGTATGACCTTGTTTAATACCTTTACCAAGATGCATTTTTTCAGTTTTTTCGTCTTCATTGATTTTGATGTGGAATGTGGCCTATTCATAAATGTTTTTAATAAGTGTAGTGCATCGTGAGTCTATTCGAGCATCCCCAGGGCTGACAAAAAGGACCAAGTTTCAATACTATCGAAAGCCTTGTGAAAGTCAATAAATGCCCTATGTAGATGCCCTATATTCTGTGCTTTTTTCTACCAATGTCCTGATGGTTTGTAAGTGATCGTTAGTACCAAACCCTTTTCTAAATCTCGCCTGTTCAACCGGTTGATATAAATCAAGTGTTTGTGTTATGCGGTTGGTTATAATTCTTGTTAGCAATTTGTATAAGTGTGACAACAAACGTATAGGTCTGTAGTTTTCAATATTAGTAGTGTCTCCTTTCTTGTGTAAAAGTATTATTTCGGCGTTTTCCCACGTACTGGTTATTCGTTTTTCTTTTTGTTAGACACTTATTCAACAAAACTTCCTTAACCTCTACAACAATGTTACCGCCCATTTTTAACATTTCAGACGTTATGCGATGCTCATCAGGAGCTTTTTTTATTTTTCATTTGCTGTAAGGCATGTCTAGTTTCTGAAGAAGTTATTTTAGGGAGAGTTTCCGAGCCGACGTTTAGAATTGTTCTATGGTTTATTCCGGGGTTTTGTATAGTAGATGTATACAGATTCTTATAGAACGTTTGTATTTCCTTGATTATTTGAGTTTTTTCCGTCACCGTATTCCCCTATTGGTTTTTGATTTTAGTTATCATTGATTTTCTTTTAGTTAAATTTGATTTTAATACTCTCATGTTTCTTTTGTTTTCGATGGTTTGTAATATTTGTTTTGTTTGATAGGCTCGCAAGTCGGACCTTATGCACTTTTTAACTTTATTGTTGATAGCCTTATACTCTGGTAATTTTTTCGATGTTTTTCTTTTTTCTTCCATTAGATCCAGTGTTGTTTGTTTCAATTTTGTTTTTCTCGGATTTTTATTTTTACCACAGATCTGTTTTCCAGTAGATGTTATGTTATTCGTTAATTTTTGTGTTATTTCATTTATATCTTTCGTGTTAAAGACTGGTAGAGGTCCTAGTCTCTTTTTTAGTTTACTTTGATATTCCTCTTGATTAATTTCGAGTACTTCTATGTTTGGTAATTTATCCTGTGTTAATAATTTTCTTCTATCAAATTTTGTATATACTTCTATTCGCACCCTAACTAATGGATGATCACAACCAGTGTTGACAGAATTTAATACAGTAACTTTTTTTAGAAATGTTTTTGAAGTTAGAAAGTATAAAGTCAATTTCATTTTTTCTTTGTCGTATGGGTTGTGCCACGTCCATTTTCTCAGCATCTTTTTCTTGTAGAATGTGTTTAAGCAGAATAGATTTTCTTTACTGAGGAAATTTGCGAGCAGCAGTCAACAGTGTTTAAATATTCGTAATTATTGACCAAATTCGGAAAAAACCTTAATAAGAAGATTGAATTTAAGCCTTGATAGAAGGGAAGGGCCAAAAAACGAACGACAAATTGTTAATTCTTAAAAAATAAAATTTAAAAAACAAAGTTTAATAGTTTCTCAAACTCTTCTTGTTTTATCTCAGTTTTTGTTAAATTTATTGTTAAAAATAAATCATAAATTATAGAATAAATGCTTTATTTGATGTTATTAATATTTGTAATAGTAAAGAAAATTACTACATATTTATAAAGAGAGTTACTTTGATGGGCTTGTGTTAAACTTGATAGAACAAAATATTTTTTTAATAAAAATATTGCATTTTAGTAATTCTAATATATTTGTTTTGAATTCAAATTGGTGATGTAAAAACATCTTAACCTACAGGTACAAAGTTTTGTTAAATAAAAGGTATACATTTTCTAACAGTCTTTATTCAAATAATTTACTTCTATATACATATCGTTCAAATTATTTAGTGGTAGTGGGCCAATGGAGAGGCGTAGGAAAGAGGAGAGGCAACTTTAAGGGCAGGTTGGGCATAAGCAATGGGAGCTGCTACCTTAAGAGCTGGTTGAGCGTAAGCGTAAGGGGAGGCTACCTTAGCTACGAGTGGTGCAACGGCTTTGACAGCTACTGCAGCTGGTTCTTTGTGTACAACAGCGTTGAAACCGTTGTGGGGATCGGCGGTGTATTCTACGGTACGTTTGCTGCCATCGGCTTCAATTAGGGAGTAGCTTCCTTGGACGACATCCCCATGGCGAGATTCTTGTTGGCTTTTGCTGTCTCCGGTGTGGGGGTCGCTTACGGCATATCCGAAATCGTAGTGAGCTGGTGCAGATGGTTCAGCATAGACGGCTTTAGCGATTGGGGCGGCATAAGCGACTGGAGCAGCTACTTTCAATGCTGGGGCGGCGTAATGTACTGGAGCAGCTACTTTAAGTGCTGGAGCGGCATACGAGAGGGCTGGAGCGGCATATGAGAGTTGTGGAGCGGCGTATGAAACTGGAGCAGCTACTTTAGCGATGGCGGGGGCGGCGTAGGCTACTGGGGCTGATACACTGGAGTATGAGACAGCAGGAGCTTCTGAGTAGGCAACTTTAGCTACTGGAGCAGCATAACTAAGTGGAGCTGAGTAAGTTTCACCGTAGATGCCGGCTTTGGCTACAGCGACGAAGGCGCAAAAAGTGACGAACTGAAAAACAAATATACAAAATAATCAAATTTATAAAATTCAAAGAGTAATTACTACAAAAATAAAAATTAAACATGGTTTTTCACAACAAAACGTACAGCACAATATTTTTTCAAAATTTTGACTTTTAATTTTTTTAAAACACTTACTTTGAACACCATGATTGCAAGTGAGACTTTGTTAATTTTTTCAATGATTGCGGGGTATATATAGTTGGCGATGTTGGCCCGAGGTATGATTTTAGATCACTTTCACTTAACTTGTATCAATGAAAAATGCTACACATTAGTTCTTATTGTTGGCATTGACCTGCTCGACGTATTTGGACAGGATCATTTCTGCAAAATTATATTCAGATAAGCTGTTGGCATTATATTTTTGATAAGCGTAAAATCCCATTATGACGATCTTTGTAAGAATAAAGCGTGAAGAAATTAGCTTTTGTATCGTTGTCATAATTTGATTACATGATTTATAAATAATTTAGCGAAATTAAAAAATTTAGTTTCGCTAAACAGGATTTTATTGTTAAAATTAAATTCACTATATTTTTCGTAGCGAAAATCATAGCTGTATAAGAAGTTAAGGGATCAACTCTTTGTTATTGGTAAACAGATTTACGCTTGATTTTAGTGGGTTTAATTGCTATTAATTTTGGAATTAACATAAAAAACTCAAGGCGTTCATTACTAAACAGTAGGTCATAATATAAGTTGCTCCTATTTGTCCAATGTTAATACATACACTCTGGGCCATTTATAATAATACTGTTTCTAAACAGGTAAATTTTCCTTGTCTACCGGGTGTACGAATCAAACTGTGTTTTTTTTTCTTAAAGTTTGCATCACCCTGTGGAATATTCTAGCATTTGTAGAATACTGAAATTAAATCGTAACTATAGCCTCATGTTTTCTCAACATTTTGTTTTTTGATGGATTTGCTTATGTTGGATAATACAAAAGTTGGGTGCTTTAACAACTAGACATGTTTTTTATCAATTTTTATCTCCGCAGATGAGAAAAAAATAATCTTTTTGAAAAAACATTCATTTGTTACAGTAAAAATCCAAATAAAATAAAATCTTCGAAGAAAATTCAAATTAGCAATATTTTGGAAATCAAAGTCTAATTAAAAAAAATTGGGCATCAATAATGGGTGTTGCCGCCTCTAGCTCTTAGGACTTCTTGGAGCCGGTTTGGCAATCCATTCATGATATCCTGGATATCAGATTGGGAGATATTGTGCCACTCCTCTACCGTAGCTGTCTTTAGCTCTTCAAAGGATGCAGGGGCTGGTACCCTTAAGGGTCTTAACCGTCTTTTGAGGTTGTCCCAGATATGCTCAATTGATGTTTACTGAAAGAAATGATAAGTGGAAATTGTTGCAGTTACTGTATTAAGATGTATGTTAAGATATTCAAGTCATTTTGGTTTGGTTCATGTATTGTTTAAAGTTATAGACATTTCGTGACCAAACTGGTAAATTAGCGAATGTGCAAAATTGACGTATCTAAGCTAATACACTAAACAGCTGTATCTTATCAAAATGTATATTCCAGTAAAACATTAGAATGTGCAGGTCCAATATCTACGTCATTGTTGACTAACGAATCTACACCTACTTCACTATCCACAACGCTAAATAGTCGAATAGGAATATTGGATAGATAAAAAAGCGAATGTTCCATATTCGCACTTTTACTAAAGTGTATTACAACCATTACAGATCGTCAAAATAACGAAAGTGGCATATTCGTCAGTTTATCTAATTGGATTTTTGCAGTGCTGAAAGGAAGTTAATGACGAATGTTTCTATTTAACCTTAAGTATGAACATTTGGTCGGTCAGATAGCTCAGCGGGCTGTGCGGCTGCCTCTCATTCGCTTCACTGTCGAATGGTTCAGTGGATGTGGGTCGAGCCTCAGCTTGGTGTACAGAAAACAAAAAGTCTAACGCAGCAGTTTAAAATTCTAGATGAATCTGCGGCTTAGACTTGGATATGCTGGGATCTGATCGGCCTATGGTGGAGCAGTACGGCAAGAGATAAGGGCTTGCGGCTCGGTGATACTCCTCCATAGATCCCTACCGGACGGGCGTAATGCCTAAAAAACCGGATATATATATATATATATATATATATATATATATATATATATATATATATATATATATGAACATTTGTTATTTAAATAACATGAGTGTTATTTTGGAATTTTGATTGGAATTGGAAGTTACATGGTAAAGTGAGACTTCTCAATCTCAGTACCTACTGTAACTTTAATCTTGTGGTAAGTCGAGTTATTTACATATTATATATTTGCAGCAACCTAATGAGCTATCAATTTTTTATTGACTTAACTTATAGTGATGTCCAATGTCCATAGAAATTTTAATTTTAAATGAACAACGTGTCAAAGTCCTACGGTAGGCCTATCACTTAAATAGTTTCCTCGCATTTAAAATTTGTGTTTTTATTAAAATGATTAGAACTTTGCACAGTAGGCCTACTAATAGGCCAGCAATCAGTATTGTATCTATTCAGTTCTAATTTTTATTTTGCTTTTCAGATTATGTTAATGAAAGTGGAAATACGATAGTCCAAATACCGGCTAGAAGCAGTGATCCCAGTTATAGGCCTACTAGAAATGATCACCGCAACATAGCACAAAATCAGAATCATTTATCGTCAAAAAAGCGAAAAGTATCAAAAAATGGTGTTTATACGAGACAGGAGGAAGCATCCAAGAGACTAAAACGTCTGGAATATTCAGCCGCAAAAGGAAAATTAATTAATGCAAGGCTCCTAAAACAACCAAGATGCTGCTGCGAAGTCAAGCATAAATGTTTAACTACTGTACCTAAGCCTCAGATCTAAATTCTGTAATGGTTTCCATAAATGGCCATCCCTTTTAGAACAACGGCAGTTTCTTATAAAACACGTTACTGTGCAACCAAAATCAAGAAAAGTGACAAAAGCAGTGGAGTCACGTTGAACTTACACAAAAAATATACTTTTTCCACTGAAAATGGTAGAGTTGATGTGTATAAGAGATTTTATCTTAAATCTCAGTGACTTAAATGTAACAATTATGCACAACTTGTATAAAGAAAAGTGCATTAAAGAAAACAAAAATCCAGTAACTTTAGAAAAGTCCAGACGAATTTTTCGAGAGTACAAGCTGAAATTTCACAAACCTGTTAAAGATTGTTGTAAGAAATGTATTGCTCATGAAGAATAAAAAGGAGATACAAACTATGATGATACTCTCTATACTAAGCATAATAAACTCAAGGAAGCGGCACGAAAAATGAGAAATCAAGACAAAGAGGACACAAAGGAGCAAGAATGTATTTTAGCAATACAATCACATCTCCAAGCCATTCTAACCACACCAAAAGAGCTAGTGGACCATGCTTCTACGTCATAAAGTTAGCTGTATACAACCTTACCATTTACCATCTTAAATATGCCAGTGTTATCTGTTGTGTATGGGATGAAATAGAAGTAAACCGGGGCAGTATAGAGATATCGACATGCATTTATACTTATTTGATGGGCCAAACCAATACAGAATTTGTCAGAATAATGTTAGATAGCCGCGGAGGCCAGTAAAAAATTCCAAATTCAATACCATGTATATGAATGTTGTAAAGGAGCACACTCGATCAAACAAATTGATCACAGGTTTTTTGAACCTGGTTATAGCCAAATGGAGTGTGACTCCATTCATGTCAAAATAAAGCAGTAAAGTAAAAATGTCCCAATTTTTACTCCCGAGGGGTGGTGCCAAATAATTCGCACTAGTAGAAGTAAGAAACACCATTTCAAGTAATGCCTTTGTACCATGATGACTTCATTGACTTCTGTATTGATAAGATTGCTTTGGGGATCCTGACAGTGACAATAAAAAATATAACCACTTACCCTTCAAAAAAGCCATTTGGTTTAAGTACCTGTTAACTCATCCAGATACTGTATTTGTGAGGACAGATTAGGTACTCAGATGACGCACCTTTGTAAGGATCTTTTAAAAGGATCACCTTTAAAAAGACCTTCAAAAGCTTTGTAAGGATCTTCAAATACTAGGTGTTTACCATGATTTCTACACAAATCTTTCCTCTGATAACAGTGTACGAAATGCCTTTCCAGAGCTATTGCAGAGCTTCCATGCAATTGATGAATCTGAGAGCGAATCATAACAACTAAACCAATAATCTTCTAACTTTTAAAGCAAAATTATAAAATAGTTTAGCGTTTAATTAAATTTTGTTCATTTTTAAAGTTGTCTAATCTCTTCACTCGCCTCATGAGAAAACCAATCAATAGGTGATATATAAGTACTTTCTCCTTTAATACAAATGCAGATTCGATATTTTTTTGCCTAACATTCTAACAATAATCACTTAGGTAAGCTAACGAATGTGACTTTTTAGTAACTATGGTTACTTAGGCTATTTTCATTATTAACCTTTTTAGGCATTTTTTTTAAGGTTTCCAGATCAGGTATGTAAAGACAAATAACATTACAAACAAATCTTTTGTCGAATTTTGCAGTAATACATATCTTATAGATATTTTAGAATTTAATAAGAAGACGTGTACGGATCTAAAAGAAATCAAAGCAAGAGTCACTCAAGGAAGCGTATTAGATCTGGTCGTCTACCTAATATACATACAGGTAAGTCATGAGGAACTTTACATACTTCTACCATATGTAGAGTCCCTCAGGGAGCATATCATGTGGCCACTAAAAAATGTGAACTCCTCTTCTTTATTAATTAACAGAGTGATTTGTGTAATTGACCATTTATTTTATTTTACTGTAGTGTTTATACGGCTCATTTGATTTTTTTAATTTTTGCATGATACAGTACACTACTATCAAGCATTCGACTGGTATTAGCTAAACTAAAAAATTCCAGGACTGGCTTTGGAAAAATTAATTTAGGGATTCGTATTAAATATTACAACCTGGATATATTTTTTTTAAAATGCAATAAGTGATTTTCAAACTACATAAATACACTTTTATTAAATTTTTAGTAAACGATCAAATCTTACCAAAAATAGAACAACCATAATGAAGTATCAAATTATAAGGTATTAATTTAAACAAATGTTATAAATTTCAAACATTTTAATTAAAATGAGTTCCTACAACATAATCTAATACGTAGAAAATTAACATCTTTACTGTCACTTTGTATTATCTCTACGATAGAATCAATTGTTTTTCAATTTTAAATTTTTACTCATAGATCGTATTGGGGCATTATTTTCGATAAATAATAAATTAAATTGATTAAAAAGTCAAACCTCTTGTATGTGTTAGTTTTTGTTGATTGTAAATGATTAAAATTTTATGTCAAATAATAATACATTGCATCAACTGTACTAAATAAAAATAAATCTAAAAAAGTTTAAAATGAAGGTTGGCGTTGACCGTTTGACGTTTCTTGATATTTTATACCCATTGTCATTATTGTCATTATCAATTGTTATTTATGTGTTAGTTTTGGTAGAGCTTTTGTTACTTTCGTTCAAAATGCCACATCAATTTTCGACTACAGAATATGCAGACATAATATTTGTTTATGGATTCTGTTATGGGAATGGTAGGGCTGCTATTATAGTAGAGAATATCGCTGGAGATTTCCTAATCGTCGAACTCCCAGTCATCCAACATTTGGGTCAGTTTTTAATTATTTGCGAGAAAATGGCATTTTTTCTAGTGGAACAACAGAGCGACATGTAGATGAAGCGCAGGAAGATGACATTATGGACGCCGTTACTATGAACCCTACAATAAGCACTAGACAAGTAAGTCAATGTTACTCAATCAAAAGTAAGTACCTAGAGTCTTACAAAAAAATAATCTATACCCATATCACATTCAAATGGTTCAGCGACTACATGCTGGAGATGAGATCGATAGGTTGGAATTTTGTAGATGGATTAACAATAATCCACCAACGCTATACAGGACACTATTTACAGATGAAGCCCAATTTACCAGAGACGGGATAAATAATTCACAAAATTCACATGTGTGGGCAGAAGAAAATCCCCATGCTATTCGAGATCGTCGTTCTCAGTTAAGGTTTTCGGTTAACGTGTGGATTGGTGTCATAAATAACCAATTAGTAGGTCCTCACTTTTTTGATGGTCCTTTAACAGGGCAGGTCTATTTAAACTTTCTACAAAATATTTTGCCGAATTTGCTTGCCAACGCGAACGTTGCTATTTGAGGGATGTATTTTCAGCATGATGGGGCATCCCCACACTTTTTACTGGAAGTGAGACATCTCAATAATGTTTATGGCAACAGGTGGATAGGACGTGCAGGTCCTATTTCGTGGCGTTCAAGATCCCCTGATTTCAATCCCGTTGATTACCATATTTGGGGACGATCGAAGCAACTAGTTTACGCAGTGAATATTAATAACCGACAACAATATTAATTCATAGAATTATACATTGTTGTAATACTATTAGAAACGATCCCCAGAGTATCCGTAATTCAATACGTCAATTAACAATTCGGCAACAAAAATGTGTACAGGCTGCAGGGTTCCATTTCGAAAATCTATTTTGAATTATTTTTATTTTGTTACCATTATTGTATCTTTTCCAGTTCTAATTTATGGGTTTATCATAACTATGTACATATGTTTAGTTTTTTTTTTT